TGTTTAAACTTTCCGATGAGTCAGAGCATGAGCATCTTTCACAAGCTGTAGAAGACTCGGTAGACTCCAATTCTTCTGCCAATTTAACTTCTATCAAAGTGTAAAATGCCCCCTCAATTGCTGTTGTCCTCACAGGAAAACGCCCTTGATACTCTCCCCGTTCTATAACCGTCCACAATGGAATCCACAGCTCCATACGTACCTGCCACCAAAATAAACGCACCAAACGCTATGGCTAGAAGCGCCACAAGTGAATGAATTGTGTTCTTTCGGGAGGAGTTCCAGTTTCTTCTGTAGTGCCCCACCCATGCTAAAAGACCATCTCCTTCCAGTTTGGAGTAGCCACTCATGATGTAGATGCCTAGTAGCGCAGGCATGATAAGCGTGAAAAGACTGCCCAAGAGCGCCGCAATCAAAGCCAACAAATCGTTGAAAAACGGAATCGAGCTTGCAATCACAAAACCGATAATCACCACGAGCGCCATCATGATGATCCACGTGAACCAGTGGGTTTTGGTGTTGTTCTGGAGATGCCTGGTATCACGAAGAAGACGTACCAAGGCGTGCTTTCCTGCAATGTGGGCCTGGAAGAAGCACGAAAAGAAGAGTCCCGGCAAGGCAATTCCATAGCAGATTTTCATTAAAAGCTCTCCGGCCGAACCCAAAGCTGGCGAGGTCACGTACCGTCCCACTCTTCCGTAAATAATGCAAGTGACCAAGATGTAATTGAGCGAAACGAAGCCCTGGCCGAGAAAGAGCGATTTGTTGTACTGACGCTGGTCTCTCATTTCCGAGTGGATGGTGAAAAACGCCGCCGTTCCACAAAGCCCGGAAAGCTGCGTAGCTATGGCACTGGCAATGGCTGCAAAAGTACGGCCTGTGGCTACGGCAACCACCTGTTTATCGATTGGTTCGCCCTTTGGAGCCGCTTCTGGCGTGCTCTGGGCCAAAACGGCTATAGTGACAGGCCAAACGCTGAAAAATACCGAAGCCAAAGCGGCAAAGCCCAACCACGACATGTACTTCAACGTTCTGGTCGCTGTTCCAAGCACTAGAGCAACAACGGCACCCACAGCAACCCAGACCATGGTGCACGTAGCATGGCCGGTAATGGCGTTGAATGCAATGGACAAGGTAAGCACGGCAGCACCGTAGCAGAGGGTATAAAAAAGCCAAAACGCTCCACCCATAAACTCCCTTCCAGCAGGCCCAAACATCAATTCGGCAGCATCGCCCACACCGTAAACCTGCGGGTTTCTAAGGCGAAACTGGCCCACCATGTAGCCTGTCCATGTTGTCAAGGCACAAAGAGCAACCAAGGAAATAAGACCCGGGACAAAACCCAAAACCTGAAAAGTGCCCGGAAGCCCCAAGATCCCGTACCCAAACTGCGTTTTTGCAACCAAGGCAGCGGCACCTAGCCAGCTGACACCCCGGAAATTGGGCCCCTCGTCCTTCACCACAAACACATTCTTGTCCTCCACCAAGTCCAGCTGGATGCTGTCGACGACAGAACCTTCTGTTTTTTTCTCCAACTCGGACATGGCGGGTTTTTTGGAGGAGCAGATCTTCGCAAGATATAGGCCCGACTGCTCGCGTGCATGTTATGACAAGTGTTGCATTATCCAAGCCACGGCGTTATCCACTGGCTGCAAATGCGACCGTGCATCGGGAATTGCGTGAGAATCCCGGCCTATACGATGCAATTGTTTTTGAATTTGATAATTTGGATTTGATGAATTGGTTTTTTTGAAAGTTTGTCAATAATTTTGTCAATGAAGAATTTTTGGGGCCTCGCTGGCACTGTGGCGCCGGCGGCTATTTGATAAACCCGGAAACCCAAATTCCACCCGATTATGCACCGACGCATGGTGATCACGTCAACGCGGCGTCTGACTCTGGTGAGCTAGAGACCCACCAAAGGGGCTATTTCGTTCGGAATTGAACCGTAGGCGAAAAAGGCCCGTTTCCGGGGCGCCCGAAATAAGCGTTTCCTGTACTTTCCCCCGTACTTCCTCCCTATTATGGCCGGTACCTCGAAATGTGCTCGGAAACCGGTAGGTGGGGCACCGAGTATTTAAGATACCTCCCCCGCTTTCCACTTTTTTTTTTGCAGCCATGAACAGAGCACAGACCTACGATACCAGAGTCCACACAATCGCCGATCTCGAGGAGGCAGCCAATGAAAAACTCGAACCCATGACCAGGGACTTCTACAATGGTGGTTCCATGGAGCTCCGGACCTTGGCTGAAAACAAAACAGCCTACGACAGGTACAGGCTTCGTCCTAGGGTGATGGTGGATGTGAACCACGTCGACACTTCTACAGACTGTTTGGGCACCCGGGTGGCTTTCCCCTTGGGATTGTCACCCACAGCTTGTCACGGCATGGCACATTCAGATGCCGAGGTGGGCACTGCCAGGGCTGCTGCTAAGAAAAACGTCAATATGGTGCTTTCGTCGTGGTCCAACACGCCGGCGGAAAAAGTGATCCAGGCGGGCAGTTTTGGCAAAAACGCCTATGCCCAGCAGCTCAGCGTTTTGAGTGACGAGCAGACGAATTTGGATATCATCAACGAGGCAGAAAGGTGCGGTTATAAAGCGCTTTTTGTCAGTGTGGATACTCCATGGCTTGGACGTCGTTTGAACGAATTGAGAAACAGCTTCGAGCTTCCCGACCACCTCGGTTTCCCCATGTACCCGTGGATGAACGCCCACAAGATGCTCAGCGACGATAAAAGAACCAAGTTCGAGGCCGGGCTCACCTGGGACTTTGTGCGTTATCTCAAGACCAAAACGAAGTTGCAGATTTACTTGAAGGGCATTCTCACGGGAGAAGACGCCGCTTTGGCTGTGGAGGCCGGTGCTGACGGAATTGTCGTTTCCAACCATGGAGGAAGACAATTGGATGGTGCTATGGCCACTTTGGATGCCTTGCCTGAGATTGTGGCAGCTGTGAAGGGCAGAATTCCCGTTCACATCGATGGAGGCATTAGAAGAGGAAGCGATATTTTCAAGGCATTGGCCCTAGGCGCCGATCACTGCTGGGTGGGTAGAATTCCACTCTGGGGTCTTGCTTACAAGGGCGAAGAGGGTGTGAGTATTGCGCTCAATATTCTTCACGACGAGTTCCGGACGGTCATGGCGCTAATGGGGTGTACTAAGATTGAGGATATTAAGCCTGAGCATTTGGCCAGATTCGGCCCTGACGGAGCTCTCCACAGAGTGGAAGGCCCCAAGCTTTAGGGGTATATAATTGCATAGAAATGATAGACAAAAATGATAGACAAAAATGATAGACAGAAATGATAGACAGAAATGATAGACATAGAAATGATAGACAGAAATGATAGACAGAAATGATAGACAGAGATAGAAATGATGGACATAGACAGGAGGAGATATGGGGTTGAACTGGAGCTTTCAATTGGTGCCTTATATTATAGGTTAGTCCGTCAAGAGTTAAATGGGTGGTATTTGCAACTTGTAAACCAACACATTGAACGAAAAGAAAAGGAAAGCCTACATCAAGTCTACTTTCAATCTCGGTCGTCGCTTAGTAGAGGAAGTTCAAACGATAATTGTCAAAACTGCTTTTTAATGAACTATTTCAATGCGTTTATATTTCCACCTTGATCATCTACAACAAATTATATCCATGGACAGGGAGGAGGAATTGGATTGGACTGGAGCTTTCAAATGGTGGCTTTTATTGCAGAAAAGTTCCCATAGAATTTTAGGAGATGTTGACTTTACGAATTGTGAACCAAATGGTTAAGAAGAGGAAAGCATTTCTCACTTCCTTCCTCGAAATCAGTACTAGAGAAAATTGAAATGGTCATTGTAAAACTGCTTAGCAATGAACTACTTTACTGCGTTCAGAAAAAGTCCCGCTTCTATCAGCTACAACACATTCCATCAACACTCTTCATTCCTCAGTACTTCCTCTTCATGAGAATCTCGGCCAACTTCTCGTGCTCCTTCTTCTCCAACGCCAACGTAGGTGCTCTCACAGGGCCAGCAGAATGCCCCACAATTTCCAAACCAGCCTTGACGGCAGCAGGGTAGCACACGCTTTCAAAAAAGTCGCTCATTTCCCACAAAAACTTCCACTGTTCTCTGGCCTTCTCAATGTCCTTCTCCTTGGTGAAGGTGTTCCAGAGCTCCACACACTCTTTGGGAACCACAGAGGCCACTCCCCAAACACTAGCTTTAGCTCCATGAGCCATGGCAAAAAACGTAAGAGTGTCCCATCCGTTGAAAGGCTCAAGATCGGCAGGTGGATGGGTCAAAAGATCCGCCAATTCTTTGGCGTTGCCCGAGGTGTCTTTCATGTAGTCGAAGCCCTTGATCTTGGACAATTCTCTGAACTGGGCAGCGGTAAGATGTACGCCTGTTGCACCAGGCAAGTTGTAGTACATCACGGGGATCGAAATGGAGCCACAGACGTCCTCGTAGAACTTGTAGAGCGCTTTGAAGGGAAGAGGGTCGTAGAAAGGTGGAACTATCATGCACGCAGAGGCTCCAGCCGACTCGGAGAATTGGGCCATCTCAATAGCCAACTTGGTGCTGTTGAAACCAAGTCCTGCGATAACTGGAAAACGGCCTTTTGCAGCATCGATGTACGCCTTGATGACGTTTTTGTGCTCCTCGAGCGAAAGCGACGGAAACTCGCCCGTGGTGCCAGTGGTGACAATTCCATGAATCCCAGCCTCAGCCAAACGGTCCACCTGGGGCTTGATATTGTCCAAATCGACCGATTGAGCATCGGCAGTCATGGGCGTGACAACGGCAGCGATGATTCCGTGGATTTTCTGTGTCATTTTGGTGATGTTGAAAAAAATTCACGATCAATTGTGCCTTATATATTGGCTTTCATGGCGATCTCGGCCCCACACGGAGCATCTCCGAAGGTATAGATAAGGTGCGCATATGTTCGGAGGGTCTCCGATGTGGAAAATTTCGATCTTCGGAACCCCTCCGAGCGGAACCAAAACCCCTTAAATCGGGTATAGAAACCATCTCTCCAAATCGGCACTTGTGTCGTCGGGAATGTTGGGCATGTCGGTCAGAAGGCTGTCTTGCATCGGTGTAGTGAAAATGCCTGGACTGGGGTAGGACGGGTATCCTCTTTCGAGGTAGGAAAAGTCTCTCGGGACTTCTTTTTCTGTAATCTGTGTGGAAGAAGAATTTTGGTCTTTCCACGATCTGGTGGCCACGGCGCCTTGGGAGTCGCTGGTCATTCCTCCTCCATACCTACGAGAGTGGATAAATCCAGAGGTGGCATTGGCATCCACATCGTGCTGGTAAAAGTGTTCGTCATCCACCAACATGCTGTTTCTTTCCTGTAGTTTGGTGATGAAGTCAATGCTGGATTCTCTTTGAACTTCGATCGGACTGCCCTGGATATTTGTAGGTCTTGGTGTCGAGTCGTTCTGGGTTTTTGCAAGACGGTCCCAAATACACTCACAGTTTTTCCCGGACTGGCTTGTCACATTGCATGAGTTGGAAAGTTCATGAAGCACATTCGAAGAAACAAGCTCGAAAACGTTTCGTATCTGTTCGTGATCGCCAGTGTCCAAAGCAGATAGCGTTTCAAGCATGGAAGTGCACGCCTGGACCTCTAGAATAATCTCCACAAAGGGCTTGCACAAGCGTGCTTCGTTTCCATTGCACAAGGTCCGAAGGTACTTGATATACGTCAATCCACACATGAAGAGACTCTGGACGGTAAGCCAGGCAAATACAGCTGAAGCTTCTCGATGCATGATTTTCACTAGACTCATGGCCTGACCAGCAGAGTGGAAAGCAACATGAAGTTCTTCAAAAGTAGGAGTTGGTCGGTTTGGCGATGGTCTCAAAAGAAGCACCACGGCTATATGGAACTGAAAGTCGGTCCATTCTTTAGTGATCAATGGAGTAGGATACATATGCGACAGACGCCAGGCTCGAAGATGGTCGTACATGTGCCATGTCCACTTGGAAAGCGACTCTTGGTCGACCCTGGAAGAATGGTATGGAGCATAGAGTCTGCTGTGGATCTCCAGCTGCAAACGGCAGATGTGAACATGGTGAATCAAGGCAATTTTCAAATGGCAAGTAGGGCCTTCTTGGACGCCTTCTGACGATATAAGTGAATCTTCCACTAAAGAAGGCATTTCAGTGCTGATCCAGTCGTCTGGAATGCTGCTAGGACGCCCCATAATGGTACTAAGCGTTCGATCCACACAGTAGCATGTCCAGAATAAACGGCGACGTAGATCAAGGGTCAAGTGGTCCACGTTTTTTCCTGGGGTAGGTTCAGCATAATAGCCCAATTCTGTAGCACACCTCATGGCGGATCCAGCCAACTGCCAGAGGTTTCCTGCCTTGGGAACTAGCAAAGTGTACTGGAGAAGAAGCAAGGAGATCTGGAGCTGGACCAAACCGGGGGCTTCAGAAACCGATCTGGGCAATATTCTTGTAGCAGATTTCCAGAAAGCATGCGAACTGTGGCCTAGTTCTGATGTCGAAAGATGAGGTCTGCTGATTGATGCTAGGGCAATGGCTATGACGATTTTCACCTGGGTTAGAACAATCTTGGATACAGAGGTCGGATCATTATGGCACAGCTCAAGCATATCGTAAAACTGCTTTTCGTGCATCACAGGGTAGGCACTGCTGATCCAGGTAAAATACCGTCTGGACACTCTTCTTAGTATACCCATATCGTAGGCGGTGATATCGGTGGCACGGTTTTTCACGGTATTCTTCCGATGCATTTTCAAAAAATCACGGCCCAATTTCCCCAAAGACAAGTTTTCCGTGGCAATAAACGTCTCTCGAGCACCCTGCGGTGTCAATGAATGCGAGTATCTTCTGATTTCTCCCCGAATATCCTCGCTTACGTGGGAGCTTCCGTGTTCCGAAACAGCCAGGCACAAAAGCGTGTTGAGCCCGTTATAATGATTTTCGTTATCGCTGGTTTCGGAGTCCAGATCGTCGCTGATGACGGCGGATTTTTCAACTTTTCGTCTTTTGGGAAGATTCTGTTCGATCTGGGGACTTTCCTCGGCCAGACCATCGACATTCTCTGAATTTCCACCATTTTGAAAACTCTCGGAGATATTCCGAATCCGCTGCTCCAAAGCAAATGCCTCTGATCTCGTCATATTCTTTCCGAGAGCCTTATCGTCGCTCATACAAGCCACTCCGGCTTTTGTGCAGCTCAGGCACGAGGGAAGCTCATGGTCACACCTAGTTTTCCTGGATCTGCATCGCTGACAAGCCCTAAGACGCTGGGATACCGAGCCAGACATGCCTTTTGAGTAGGGATTCTGTTGATCTGGGGTCGATTTGGAGATAGCTGGTGTACGGGTGTAGCGGGCATTTTGCAGCCACCTCGAGCGGAATTGGCACTGGGGTGCAGAATTGGAGTACATGCATGGATGGGGAATGGCAGGTTACCGGATATGATGGGGTTGAGATTTTCAGAAATTTTCATTCGATTTAATAGCAGCTTAATCTTGAAATTTCATTTGTCATTTTTTTTTTTTTGGTTTAGTGTTTATTTCTTGTATTGGCATTTGGAGGTCTTCCAAGAGGCTTTGAAAATAGACGAAAGATGCCAATAATCTACATTTCGTTAAACCGCTTCTCTAGAGCTCGCCAGGGGCTTCAAACTTAAAAGCTTAATCAAGGAAAGCTGCACATCGGTCGATCAGTATCATAGATGCCCAAGGTATCATGCTACTGGTAACCTGATAACGAATAATATCCCATCAAAGGGAGAAGTTGAAAACGTCCCAAATTTTAAACCCTACGAAACTTTGTTAAACCACTTTACGACAATCTCTCATTTCTAACTATTATCGGCGCAGTCAAAGGCTCGAGACACTGTACCGTTTTGATATCCTTCGATGATGGACTGTACTGCTCCGTAAGTACCAGAAACCAAGATGTAGAAACCAAACACAATAGCAAATAGTGAAACAGCCAGTGTAACCATGTTATGCCTATTTTTTGTGGCTTGGTATTTACAGACCACTAACCACTGTAGCATCGCATCACCCTCTCTCTTGATGTATCCACTCATTCCATACAAAGCAAGAAACCCCGGCACAATTAGTGTAAAGCTGGTACCAAGTAAAGCACCAATAAGCGCCAACAAATCATCAAAGAACGGAATGGCACTGGCAATCACAAATCCAAATATTATCACCACTGCCATCATGGAAATCCAAGTAAACCAGTGCTTAAAGGTATTCTCCTGGAGATGCTCAGTTCCACGAAGAAGACGAACCAAGCAGTATTTGCCTGCCAAATGGGCCTGAAAGAAGGACGAGAAAATCAAGGCTGGGAGGGCTATTCCATAGCATATTTTCTGGAAAAGCGGTCCAGCAGATCCAAGTGCTGGAGATGTGACATACTTTCCAACTCTGCCGTAGATAATACACGCAAGAACGACATAATTGGTAACAACGAAGCCCTGGCCCATGAGAAGAGATTTGACATACTGGGTTTGGTCTCTCATTTCAGTGTGAATTGTAAAAAACGATGCCGTTCCACAAAGCCCTAGAAGCTGTGTAGCCACAGCGCTAGCTATTGAAGAAAATGGAACATTGACTGCTACAGCTGCAACCTCCTTGTTCAACGGTTGATCTGTAGGAGCAGCTGCTGGTGTTTTTTGAACAAGGCAAGCTATTGCAACAGTCCATGCACTGATGAAAACAGACAAGATCGCAATGTATCCACACCAGGACATAACCTTCATCGTTCTCGTAGCTGTACCCAAAATTAGACTGATAATGGCACCTATACCAACCCACCCGGTGGTGCAAATAGCATGGCCACTTAGCGTGTTGAATGCAATTGAGAGGGTCAAAACGGAGGCTCCATAGCACAAGGCATAGAATAACCAAAATGCTCCTCCCATGAACTCTCGACCCACAGATCCAAACATCATTTCTGCTGCATCGCCTATACTGTAGATATGGGGGTGACGAAGCCTGAACTTTCCCACTATGTAGCCGGTCCATGTGCTTATTGTGCAAAGTGTAATTAGACATATCAAACCAGGGACAAATCCTAGGGAATGAAACGTTTGTGGAAGTCCAAGAACACCAAGACCGAACTGGGATTTTGCAATAAGAACCGCAGCTCCAAAGCACGAAACACCCCGAAAATCAGGTCCCTCCTCCTTGACCACAAAAACATCGTGTTCTCCAGTATCGAATTCACTGAAGTTGCTTCTTTGAGGCGATACCACAATACTGGGGCCTTTCTTTTGTTCGGACATGCCGAGTGCCGAGAGGAAGTTCTGGTCATTTAAGGGCGATTTGAACTGTGACGTAATTCGGGTTCTTGGAGCCTTTGAAACTCATCATCGCGATAGCTGGTCCGAAATAAGTGGATGATTATGCATCGGCTTCGATCCGCATGCATCGGAGTCTTGCCGAGATAACGTATGTGGGGTTCTTTGATGCAAGGTCTCAAGGGGAAGATAAGAACGCGGGGCAACACAGGCCACTGATTGTAGCATTGAATTGGGGGATATCAAAAGCGAACTCTGAAAAATTTCAGCATTCATCTTTCTGTTAATATGAACATTATCTGTTAGATCTCGTACTGAGTAAACTTTGTGCACATCATAACCATGCAAATGCAACCTAAAAGCTTAAAAAGCACCCTAAAGCTCTACACTCACCTATCATATGCTCATTGCAATTCAGCTATTCACAGATCAGCCGCTGTTGTCCTCACACGAGAAAGCGCCAGAAATCACACCGTCCCGGTAGTTGTCGATAATCGACTGGACAGCTCCGTAGGTACCAGCCCCAAGGATGAAAATTCCAAGACACACAGCCAAAATAGCCACACACGTCGTGACCGTATTCACCCAGTTCTTGTTCCACTTGCTCTTGCAATTGCTCAACCAAGCCAAAGTGCCGTCTTCTGGAGACTTGACAAACTTGCTCATTTCGTACATGGCCAAAAAGCCAGGAATGATAAGCGTGAAGCTCAGGCCAATCAAAGAAGCCATAAGCGCCAACAAGTCGTCGAAAAAAGGAATGGCACTGGCAATGACGAAACCAAAGAGAATCACAATCACCATCATGGTGAGCCAGGTGAACCAGTGGGTCAAGGTGTTTTTCTGTAGATGGACCGTGCCTCTGAGGAGCCTAACCAAACCGTATTTTCCAGCAAGATGGGCATGGAAGAAACTGGAGAAAAGCAAACCAGGAAGCGCCACACCGTAGCCGATTTTCTTAAAGAGCGGACCAGCCGACCCCAAAGCAGGCGATGTCACGTAGACACCCACTTTTCCGTAAATCATGCATGCGAGAATGATGTAGTTGACAATCACGAAACCCTGGCCGAGAAACAAGGACTTGTTGTACTGGGAGTGGTCTCTCATTTCCGAGTGGATGTTGAAGTATGCGGCGGTACCACAAAGACTTAAAAGCTGCACGGCAATGGCACTGGCAATTGCGGAGAATGGCTTTCCTGTAGCAACAGCCGTGATGGCCTTATCGATAGGACCGTCTTTAGGAGCAGCTTCAGGCACACTTTGCGTAAGACAAGCAATAGCGACGATCCACGAACTGATAAAGACAGAGGCCAAGGCAACGTAGCCGCACCACGACATGACCTTCATTGTTCTGGTGACGGTGCCGATCACAAAAGTCACGGCTGCAAAAACAGCCACCCAGATGGTGGTGCAGATGGCATGTTCACTCAAGGTGTTGAATGCAATGGACAAGGTCAAAAGCGAAGCGCCGTAAACAAGAGCATAGTAGAGCCAAAAAGCGCCTCCCATGATCTCCCTTCCAGGTCTTCCAAACATGATTTCAGCCGCGTCGCCAATACTGTAGACCTGCGGGTGGTGGAGACGAAACTGCCCCACTATGTAGCCTGTCCATGTACTCAAGCAACAAAGACAGATGAGACAAATCAAGCCGGGAACAATGCCGAGGGCCAGGAAGGTTTGAGGGATTCCAAGCACACCAAGACCAAACTGGGCCTTGGCTATCAACACAGCAGCACCAAAACAGGTGACACCACGGAAATCAGGGCCTTCTTCCTGGACCACGAAAACGTCATGCTGGCCCGTGTCGAATTCACTAAAATGGGTTGTTTGAGGCAGGATCCCCATATCGGGGTCTCTCTTTTTCTCCAAGTCAGACATGGCTGCAAAAACGAAAACAAAAACAGCAGGCGCTGACGGCTTTTATAACGTGGTTTCGGCGCCACGTTCCCCTCGTCTCCATGACATAATTCTGCTTTTTTTCTCAGATCTCGGCATTGGTCGTTTTCGGATATCCTCCGCGGCGATATGGCTAAGCCGGAACGCCTTGTGTGGAGACCGGCTCGTAAAAAACCGCAGAAACAAAGCCGTGCCTTAAGCCTTTGTTCGACGCAGACAATGGAATATTTCTGCCGCCGATTTGGCGGTTTTTTGCTTTTGGTGATGTGCTCTCTTTAGTTTTTGAGAGCACGGCATTAGTGCTGTGCGGCTGTTCCTGGCATCTAGCGGATTCCTTTGCATTGGCCCGCATAAGACCCTCGTGAGAGTATAAAGAGGCTGGTGGAATTGCACTTGCGCTGAGGGGTTTTGGATTTTTTGGTTTTTGGTTCCTGGAGATTTACCTCCATGGAGGCTGAAGGTGGAGCCTCCTCAAGGAAAGCCGTGATACATGTCCGAGAAAGGAATCGCAGATTCCGCAGGACACGCTGAGATTGTGGTTACGTGACGTTTCATTGGTTTTTTTTCTTTTGCCTATTTTTTTTTTTCTTCCACACCGCCTCTTCCTCATCGCCCTAATCGCCCAACATCGACGGCTTTTTTGATTTGTAGATACCGTTGACACCGGTCTTGGCATGCCATCAGACGACAATCGAAAACGGCAGGCTAAAGCGCCGCTCGTCGAACCACGTCTGAGCCCCACCAGCCGAGGTTTCAATGCAACGTCGCATCGAAAGAGGGAAAAAAGGTAGGACCGAAAAAAAAGACAAAAAAAAAAAAAAAAAAAAAAAAAAAAAAAAGGAAGGACCAAAAAAAAAAAAAAAAAAAAAAAAAAAAAAAAAAAAAAAAAGATAGCGCTCCCCTGCTTATCAGTATGCGCTTCGGCGGTCCAGCGATCCATCGGAGGTGCTCCGAGAGGGGCACAAACGGGCTCCTGGGGTCTATAAACCATGGATACCCTGGATTTGTAGCATCTCTCTCCACTACCCAAAACACATGAACCGTGCTAAGACCTACGACGAAAACGTCCACTGCATCGCCGACTTGGAGGCAGCTGCAAACGAAATACTCTCTCCTATGGCCCGTGATTTCTACAGCGGCGGGTCCATGGATTTGACGACAGTGGCGGAAAACAAAAGCTCGTACGATAAGTACCGCCTTCGTCCTAGGGTCATGGTGGACGTGAGCGATGTGGATACCTCCACCACCTGCTTGGGTGCAAAAGTCGCTTTTCCATTGGGCATTTCGCCAGCAGCCAACCACGGCATGGCTCATCCTGATGCTGAATTGGGTACTTCCCGTGCTGCTGCAAAAAAGGGCGTAAATATGATCTTGTCCTCTTGGGCCAACTCCTCATCCAAGGATGTCATTGACCAGGGCAAGGACAGTCCAAACGCTTATGGACAGCAGCTCAGCGTGGTGAAACACGATGCTACCAATATGATGATCATCAAAAACGCCGAAGCTGCGGGCTACAAGGCGCTTTTCATCAGCGTGGACTGTCCGTGGCTTGGAAGAAGACTCAACGAAATGAGAAACGGCTTCAGACTCCCAGACCACCTCAACTTCCCCAGCTACCCGTGGATTAACAGCACCAACATGGTCAGCGACGACGATAGAACACAGTACCATCCCAGTCTCACGTGGGAGTATGTTCGTTACCTCAAGACCAAGACGTCCATGCAAATCTGGCTCAAGGGCATTCTCACTGGTGAAGATGCAGCTGCTGCTGTAGAGGCTGGAGCTGACGGGATTCTTGTATCCAATCATGGTGGAAGACAATTGGACGGCGCCATGTCCACGTTGGATGCATTGCCTGAGGTGGTTGCTGCAGTGAAAGGCAGAATTCCTGTCCACATTGATGGAGGCATTAGAAGAGGCAGTGATATTTTCAAGGCATTGGCCCTAGGCGCCGATCACTGCTGGGTAGGAAGAGTTCCTCTTTGGGGTCTTGCCTATAACGGACAAGACGGTGTGAGTCTTGCTCTTAACATTCTCCATGATGAGTTCAAGGTGGTGATGGCGCTTATGGGATGTGCTCGTGTGGAGGACATTGGACCGCAGCATTTGGCCAGAATGGGTTCTGATGGTGCTATTTACCGTTTGGCGCCTTTGGCTAAGCTTTAGCGAAGCTGTAGCGAAGCTGTAGCGAAGCTGTAGCGAAGCTTTAGCGAGCTTTAGGCTTGAGTTGTTTGATAAATAGGAATGTATAAATGTGTTGTCTACGGTGGAGGCATGTCCTGTGAGGTGGATGAAACAACGATATTATTTTCCAGTCCACCAAAATGGCGTCTTATAGCTTGGTATTACTTTTCTCTGCGTTTCAATGCACGAGTGAGCCGTTAATTTCTCCCTGACTCAAGGGTATAAATTTCAGGGTTTCCACCTCTGAGCTATACTTCACCTTTCTTGCGCATGCCAGAAATTCCCCAATGGGTATCAAGGTTGATAAAGCATCTATATTGTTTCTGGAGGAATGATGATGTTCTGCTGGAAAGCTCCACACCGGCTCCAAAATGTGAGGAGGTATCAATTGAAGACGAACCGTCACCACCGAAAGAAGACCATATAGCTAAGTACGTTGCGTCAATCCCACGGAGAGAATATGTTTTTGAAGATCTCAGGGAAGAATTGATCTCGATGATGCGGATCGTCGGCGACAGTGGTACAACTTTGATTTCTTTCGACCTAGAAGGAACCCACGGTGATATTGATGATATCACTCAAGTGGGAGTTTCGGTTTATCAACCGAAAGAAGGGACCAGACCTTTTCCACCCTTTATACGTCTGGCTCATATTATTCTCAAATACCGTTTTTCGAGATATCCCCATAGCTTCAATGGTGAAAGAAGCTTGCATATGAACTTGGAGCAGGTAAGATTAGCCCTTAACGAGTTGATTATGGAATATAGTAGAGACAAAATAATAGGGTCAGGTATTTGTATTGTGGGACATAACATGCATGGTGATGTACGTCTTTTGAAAGAGTTGGGATTATATTTTGGAGAGTGTGAGTTTGTCGATACCCAGAGAATGCTTTCGATAACCCACGGCATAAAACGTTGCAGTCTTGCAAATTCGTTACGGCTTATACGGCAGCCGTATGCTTTTCTACATAATGCTGGTAATGACGCTTACTACACGATGATACTATGTCTTTGTTTGGCTGATCCAGAGTACCGCAGATCAGCGGGAATTGACCACCAAATGGTGGTTGCTGAGTATCTTGAAAATCAAGACACTCAGGAAAATACCATGAACAGAAGCTCACAGGTATTTACTTGTCACTGGACAAAACTTCGAAAAGTACTTCGATGCCATACAATATAATCAGTCAAAGACTGGTAATTGAACGTGTGTTGGAAAAGTCCAACGCACGGGATCAGCCAAAGAAAGAGGATATTTTTCATCGTTTAGTTTTTAAGTATTAAGTTAGCAGAATGTGATTGAGTTAGTAGAATTGATTGTGCTGCTGTGATAAGCTATCGAAGGATAACCGAGGACCCTGTAGAAAGTGACAGGAACGGCCTGATTCCACGAAACCACGCGCCTTTCCCGATTCGGCCAACTCCCGAGGCGTCTCCCCAAAGTCGCCAACTTTCCCAATCAACAAAACAATTCCTTAATCCAAACCCACCTCTCTCAACTGACTTGAGAGAGTGGGGCTGAGGGGTCCGCGGCGCCCCGCTGCAAGGGCTCGCAACCGCGATAAGACTGGGCGCTAGGGTGTTTTTCGGTATGGGCCCGACGCGAACGGAACCGTTCCGACACACACTATATAGCTCGCTAATCACTACTTTTCTTTACCCGCCAGCCATGTCGATCAAGATTGAGTTGTACGACAAAAAGACCATCGACCTCCCTACCGGGTTGTTCATCAACAACGAATTCAGACCCGCCAGTGACGGATCTACATTGACCACCCCTAATCCAGCCACGGGGGAGGATTTGGCTACCATCAGCTCAGCTACTGAAAAAGACGTTGACGACGCCGTGGCCTCGGCCAGAAAGGCCTTTGACACTGTGTGGGGCACCAACTCCAGCCCTGGTGAAAGAGCACTGCTCCTCCACAAATGGGCCGATTTGATCGAGGAGGATATCGAGAACTTGGCTCAGTTGGAGAGCTTGGACAACGGAAAACCCGTGTGGATGGCCCGTGACGTGGACATTGTGGACTCAATTGGGTGTCTTCGTTACTACGCCGGTCTTGCTGATAAGATCGAAGGCCGTACCATTGAGCAGCAGGAAGGTGTCAAGTTGGCCTTCACCAGACCCGAGCCTATTGGCGTTTGTGGCCAGATTATTCCATGGAATTACCCAATTCAGATGTTTGCGTGGAAGGTTTCGCCAGCGCTTGCGGCTGGAAACACCATTGTGATGAAACCAGCCGAACAGACGCCATTGAGTGCTCTTCGTTTGGCTGAACTCGCCGTCAAGGCCGGTTTCCCACCTGGCGTTTTGAACATCGTCAACGGTGTGGGCGCCATTACCGGAAACGCCATTGCCAACCACATGGACATCGATAAGGTTGCGTTTACTGGATCCACCGTCACGGGTCGTAAGATCATGGCCTCTGCAGCCAGCAGTAACTTGAAAAAAGTCAGCCTTGAGCTTGGCGGCAAATCGCCCGTGGTTGTTTTCGACAGCGTGGACATCGACCAGACCGCCAACTGGGTGTGTATGGCTATTTTGTTCAACCACGGCCAGGACTGCTGTGCTGGATCCCGTCTTTTCGTCCAGGACACCATCAAGGACGAGTTTTTGAAGGTGCTCAAGCGCAAGATAGAGGAGATCCAGATCGGCGACCCCAGCGACATCAAGACCTTCATGGGTCCGCTTGTTTCCAAGGTGCAGCACGAGAAGGTGTTGCAGTACATCAAGTACGGTGAAGAAGAGGGCGGCAAGTTGCTCACTGGCGGCCTGCAGCAGTTGAGCCATTTGGACGCAAAATTCAAGAACGGCTTCTACGTGACTCCCACGGTCTACACCGACTGCAAAAAGGGCATGAAAATCGTGGACGACGAGATCTTTGGTCCTGTGCTTGCCGTGCAGAGCTTCACCACCGAGGAGGAGGCTGTCAAGTTGGCCAACGATACCGCCTACGGTCTTGGCGGAGGCATTTTCTCCCAGAACGCCTCCCAGTGTATGAGAATGGTTCACGCCATCAAGGCCGGTACCGTGTGGTGCAACCAGTACATGGCCTTGAGCAACTCTGTGCCATTTGGCGGAGTGAAGCAGTCTGGCTTTGGCCGTGAGTTGGGCATTGAGGGCTTGAAGGAGTACACCCAGACCAAGGCTGTGCACTGGAACTACGGTGAGGAGATCCCATGGCCCATTGACGGCACCACTGGTTGAACTGGTTGAATGAAAAGTATATAGCAAGACTGGTTTCAGGGCGGGTGTAGAGTAAGCATAACTCAGAGTTATTATGTTCGAGAATCTGGATTCTTCTTGACTTGTCACAAGAGCTTATAAGAGGCTGGTGGTAATGGAATTGAAATTGATGCACTGGGCGTTCTTTTGGGCTTAAAAACGTTCAATTCCTGATGACACTTGTGAAGAAGCAGTTTGTCAATTTTCAGGCGAGTTTCAAGTGAATAGAGTCGTGAGGCTCATGAGTGAGTAGTTGTATAGTGAGATGAGGGTTGTAATCTGAACGTATACGAATTGAGGAAGGATTGGGATAACTGGAGTACCGAAATGACAAATTCGCTTCGGCTGCCTCTGTTGATCCCCTCAGAATAAATTAATTTATAGCTACTGTTGAGTCTCGAAATTACTGAAAGCACTTTTGAGACACTTCGTCACGGGTTAGGAGCCCGGTAAACTATCTAGTTCCTCAGAAGTGAACAAGAGTCAAAGCTACAGAAGGACATACCCTTAACAAAAATACAAATTTCGACTATATAGCTCTTCATTTATACACTCGCTACGAATCTTCCGAGTTTCACGCTGCTCAGGGCTTCAAACGTCGGATGGCGTTGACGTCCATGCACTTAAAACCTGTCTGCAAATTTGCATGATGCAAGTGGCAAAACACGTTTAACTACTTCTTTCTTTAAACAATGCCACTGGGAAAGACTCAACAGACGGAGGGGGTTTCAAAAACACCTGCTCCCAATAAAATGGCACTTTTCGCTATGCTACTCGCATCCTTATTCTCGGCTCAAATCTATGGCACTACTTTCTTCAAGTTTGATCGAGTGTCGCCGGAACTAGGCATGGTTTTCACCACCTTGATACCCCTGATATTCGTTTTCGAGATTGGTCATCTCGTTGGTCATTTTTTTGGAGTGAAGAGAACCATGCTACTTGGATTCTGCTTCGTAGCAGTGTTGCCCAGTTTGGTCAAACTTTGTCAGTACACCCACTCTGACGGTCTTCTTACAATTGCAAGTTCGATCCAGCCTTTTTGTTTGCTTCCTCTTGTTGGTGCTAAGGAGCTTTTCAAATACCACTTCAAGGTCAAAGGCGGAAAGTTGTTTCTTGTGGGCATAATCTCAATCTTGGTGGCGTTCCAGATAAGCTCAGATTTGCTAGTGCCTGTTCCAGCACAGTGGCATGAAAGTATCATTTTTGGCTACGGTCTCGTAATGAGTCTTTTGTTCCACTTCTTTGTCGCCGATACTCCTCGGCTTGGAAGACCATCTTTTGCAGGTATCAAGCCTCAATTGACTGGATTGGTGGGATTCTTGCTTGTCAACTCGTTTTGGATCCACCATGCTGACAATATTGTCTTCGATTCGGAAATCTACGCTTTGCTGAAAGTTTGTTTCGTTCTTGATTTGTTGTGCTTTGTGGTTGTGTTGTACGGATTCCCATGGCGGTGGAGACAAGGGCGTACTGAACGGAAGGAGATACTGAAATGGGCTCAAGAGTTTGGCAAGGACGAAAAGGCTACTATTTGATTAGATGTAGGTTATATCGCCTTTTGCAGCCGTATCTAGTCCTGCCTTTTAGCTAGTCCCAATGCATTGAAACCACTCGAGATAGCAGTTCTTCACACTCGGCACAATTCAACATCTTCATCACCAACCCAATCCCCCATTGGCCATATACTTATTCAAAATCGCCAAGACGATACTCTAGGATCTGCCTATCAGAGCTCTAACTGCGGCGTCGTCTATGCACTCGGGACCATTCTGCAGTTTTTGCTGCATGCAAAAGGGTTTGACTCACTACTACTCACTTTTTTGCAATATGGCGATTGAAGAAAAACGGCTGGATGATTCCTCAAAAGAGCCTACTATCAACAAACCCGTGGTCTTGGCTCTTTTATCGACTACCCTATTCTCGTTAAAAGTCTACCTTCCCAGGGTTGACCAGTTCCTTGTTGTGTCCCCAGAACTGGGCATGATACACACGACTTACATCCCTTTTTACCATGAATTCCCACTACTCGCCTTGCTTTTCACAAGTTTTGTACCATATACTTTCCTTTCTGACTTCTTCGCTTGTGTTGGACATTTTTACGGGAATAAAAGAACCATTCTTGGTGGTTTCTGCTTCGTGGCACTCTTGCCTCCTTTCGTGAGGACTTCGTGGTCCCTCCACTCTCACATTCTTTACACCATTGCAATCTGCATCCAGCCGTTCTCTTTGCTACCTCTCATTGGTGCAAAACAGCTTATCCATCAGCTTTACGAGGTCAATGGCTATGCAATGGAGATCTTGACTTTCATCGCATTGGATGTAGCGACACTGGTGAATCGCCGAGTAAACATTCCACCTGAATGGGAAAATCTTGCGATGTTCGGCTACAGTCTCGTGCTGTGTCTTTTGTTTTATTTCTTTCTTCCTGATATTCGTGGCACGAGCGAGAGACCAGCTCTCGTCGAGTTTGGGCCTCAATTGACTGGGTTCGTGGGCTTCTTGATGGTCAATCTTTACTGGATCTACAATATCGATTATATTGATGAAGAGAAGGTCTTCACTGTTCTGGCCATCTGTGTTGCTCTTGACTACTTGTTTTGGAGAACATTGAGCTATGGATACCCGTGGTCCTGGTGGTCTAGACGGAAGGAGCTGAATGAGGGAAAGGATGAAGAAGAACCAGTCAAAACGGATGGAGAGGCTGCCAGCTGACTCCAATGAACGAAAAACGTTAGCAGCCGGAATTTTTATAATTTAATCGAAGAAAAAGGCTCTCGAGTGACTCACACAAGTGATACGTTCGGGCCAATTTCCTATGACTTTTAGAATTTGAAGCTTGTAAGGCACTAAAGCAATAGGAGGACCGGCTACATCGATCAAATATAACGAATGAAATTAGGGTATCGAAGCTAAAGGGGTATGAAGAATGTCAAAGCGAAGCCGGGTATGGAAATATTAGTACCGCCAGACAATGCCAGCTAAAAAGACTATTCCATGAAACGAAAGTAAGGGTTGCTTAGAAAAGTGCAAGAAGGCCAAGTGGAAGCAACAAGGTGGCTCCAAGCTTAGGGAGCGAACCAGCGCCCTCAAATGGAGTGGTGACCGATGGAGCAGGCTCTCCTGGAGGCTTCAGCTCATCAGCAACAGTGGTTTCAGCTGGAGGCTTGTCAGCTGGAGGCTCATCAGCTGGAGGCTCGTCAGCTGGAGGTTTGTCAGCTGGAGGGGTCTCAGCAGGAGGGTGGTACTCACCGGGTTTGGTGACATCAGGCTCTCTGGTCTTGGTAATCGTGACGATCTCCTCTATGGTGATCACCTCACCGTCGTCCTTGGTGGACTCGACCTTGGACATGGTGGTCTTCTCCTCCTCCTCCTTGGTGTAGGAGGTGGCCTTACCCTTGATGATGGTCTTGATCACCTTGACGGTCTTGGTGACAACCTCTCCGTCGTCCTTGGTGTACGGAACCGTCTTGGTCTCGGGGCAGATCGAAGTCAGAGTGGTCTTCTTGCCGTCCTTGTCGGTGGTCTCACACACAATCACCGTCTTGGTGATCACCTCGCCCTTGTCGTCGGTCTTGGTCAACGTCTTGGTGGTCTCCTTAGGCTTGTACTTGGTGGTCCACTCGCCGTCTGGACAGGTAGTCACAATGGCCACCTTGGAGGTGGTGATTGGCTTTCCGTCGGCGTCGGTGGTGGTGACCTTGGTGGTGTAGGTTGTTGGAGTAGGGTCGTCGAAGAGGGAGGTCGAGGTGGTCAAAGAACCGTCAGAGTCGGTGGTCACAATGACGACACCGCTGTCTGTGGTAGGCTGACCGTCAGCGTCCGTGGTGGTCCATGTGGAAGTGAAAGATGTCATGTCAGTAGGCTCCGATGGAGGGAAGGTGGAGGTGGTGGTGATGACGTTTCCGTCTTCGTCCGTGGTGGTGATCACGATTCCAGACTCGGTGATGGAGTCCCCGTCGCCGTCAGTAGTGGTCCAGGTGGTGGGTTCTGGTGTGGTGTCAGGTGGGAAAGTCGAGGTTGTCGTGATCTCGTTTCCGTCCTCATCGGTGGTGGTGATGATGATTCCAGAATCAGTGGTTGGCTCGCCATCGTCTCCGGTTGTGGTCCAGGTAGTTGGCTCGCCGGTGATGTCTGGAGGGAAGGTGGAAGTTGACGTTGTGGGCTGGCCATCTTCATCGGTAGTGGTGATGATGATGCCGGAGTCGGTGGTGGGTTCTCCGTCAGCGTCGGTGGTAGTCCAGGTAGTTGGTTCACCGTCAACGTCGTCAGTCTCATCTGGAGGGAAGGTCGAGGTAGAGGTGGTTGGCTCTCCGTCGGCGTCCGTGGTGGTGATGATAATTCCAGAGTCCGTGGTTGGTTCTCCATCGGCATCGGTAGTGGTCCATGTGGTTGGCTCGGCATCTTCTTCATCGGTCAAATCCGGTGGGAAGGTGGACGTAGATGTTGTGGGTTGTCCGTCCTCATCTGTGGTGGTGATGATAATACCAGAGTCAGTCGTAGGCTCACCGTCTGCGTCAGTAGTGGTCCAGGTGGTTGGCTCACCGTCAACATCGTCAGTCTCGTCTGGAGGGAAAGTCGAAGTAGACGTTGTAGGCTGTCCATCCTCGTCTGTTGTGGTGATAACGATACCAGAGTCGGTCGTAGGCTCACCATCGGCATCTGTGGTAGTCCAGGTAGTAGGCTCGCCATCTGGGTCGTCAGTAGGGTCAGGAGGGAACGTAGAGGTGGAGGTGGTGGGGTTTCCGTCCTCGTCAGTCGTGGTAATCACCACGCCAGAGTCAGTAGTAGGCCCTCCGTCCGCATCGGTGGTAGTCCAGGTGGTGGTGTAGTCTGGTTCATCGGTGATGTCGTCTGGAGGGAAGGTGGAGGTGGAAGTGGTCTCCTGGCCGTCCTCGTCCGTGGTGGTGATCACAATTCCCGAGTCTGTGGTTGGTTCTCCATCGTCTCCAGTGGTGGTCCAGGTGGTAGGCTGGGGCTCTTCATCTGGGTCCTCGGTAGGGTCTGGTGGGAAAGTCGAAGTCGTGGTAGAAGGAGCGCCGTCTTCATCAGTGGTAGGAATAACCACACCTGAGTCGGTGGTGGGCTCTCCATCTTCGTCAGTAGTCGTCCAGGTGGTGGTGTACTCGTCAGTGACATCGTCGGTTTCCTCAGGAGGGAAAGTCGAGGTTGTGGTAGTAGGAGCTCCATCTTCATCAGTAGTTGGAATAACCACACCAGAATCCGTGGTAGGCTCACCGTCCTCGTCAGTAGTAGTCCAGGTGGTGGTGTACTCGTCGGTGGGTTCGTCATCGGTTTCCTCAGGTGGGAAAGTGGAAGTGGTGGTAGTTAGGCTTCCGTCCTCATCGGTAGTTGGAATCACAACACCAGAGTCAGTAGTGGGCTCGCCATCGGCATCGGTGGTAGTCCAGGTGGTAGTGTGGGGCTCCTCCTCCAAAGGTGGTTCAGGGAAGTCCTCACACATACAGATGTCGGGAGCTTCGCCCTCGTATGGAAGGTTGTAGACAATCTCGGTACCGGTGTCACCGATACTGTTGGTGGAGAATTGGGCGGTGTCGTAGCCTTCACCAATGTTGAAGTCAAGACTGAAAACACCCAAGAAGAAGGAAAGCGTCAACACGCCGTCGGCGTAGTTCCAGTTGTCGAAACCAAGGTCAATTCTGATGACGTTTCCGCCACCGAAACCAACCACAGTGAAGGTTCTGTCGCCCGTAAGAGAGCCAGACAAGCCGGCAACACCCAAAACGGAGTCAGAAGAAGCAAGGTAGATGGTCTGGCTGGTGGAAACTTCGTAAGGGTCGATGTTGGCCTGGAATCTGGCATCTTCGCCGACATTGATACATCCAGTTCCGTTCACAGAGGCAGTCTGGATCCAGTTCATGTTTGTAGCGCAAATAGTACCTTCGTTGAGAATCAGGCCAGCCGCCAGGTTAATTCTGACATCCGAGGAGGTCTCGTCAGCCTGGACAAAATGGACTCTTCCGTGGTTCTGCCAGTTGGTGGTAGAGCCAAGGTTAATTGGAGCCAACGCAAATCCACTGATTCCAAACCACATGTCACCGGTGTTGATGAAATCACCAACGGCGTTCAAGTTGTAGGAGCTCGACTGCAACGAGCGGGAGGAATTGAAGGCAAGCTCTCCGGAATTGAGAATGGAGCCCGAAACAAGCGAAACAGAGGCGGTCAAACTTGTATCAAGCGAAGTCACGAAAAATCCACCTTGATTGTCCAAGCTTCCGGTGATCGATGTCACTGCATTATTCACGATCGAGTAGTGCACTCCAGGCATGATGGTAAGATCACCAATGTCGAGGTTGACTGGGTCGACTTCGACGGTGTCCTCTTCAATCACCCTTCCTAGCGTCTTAGTCGCTAATAAGGCCACAGAGAGCCATGAGAAACTAAAGCTTTTCATGACGATGGTCTTTTTTGTTTGATGCTAAGAGATAAAAAATAAAAAGTAGAACCAGCTCTAGTCCAAATGGCTGCAACTTTATACCTCTCGAACGGATTTCTCTCCCTCGTGTTGTCAACCACGCTCAAAACAATCTTCCTGATTGTTTTCTGCTCTCTGGACAGTCTGATATTTTGGTATAAGCAAGGTCGGACAATTGATCGTATTGTTTTCCAAATATGAGCTTGCCCGCTCTCCCCACGGTCCTTGGCTGCAAGTCAATCGGCAGTATATCGAGCATTCCGGGATTCCTTGCGCATCAAAATCCGTATTAGATTGGTTTTCTTGCATCCAAATTTAGAACGATCAGAAGGATCGTACAGCAAGTGAGCCGCTTCACTCGTTTCGTCTTTCCGAATATGCCCCGTTAATGCTTCTTACGGGGCAGATATCCTTGAAACACCCTCCCAGTGAAAAACCGTAAATAATACTGCAATGGTGGACTTGCAGCATTCCCAGGTAACAAAACCAGTGCTTGAATTTGGACGCGAATCAGACCTATTCATGGTTTGTCACTTGTTCTGCTTGCTTTGGTGGTTTCAGGCCGCTAGCAGATCCAGAACACAATTCACGTAAGAATAAGCTTGGCTACCGAGAAATCTCTATGCTGCACGACTTAGCGTGGACCATTATGAGTCCCGATCTAGAACTAAAGCCCCATTGTTGCGAAGCATACTAAATGTTCTGTTCGTATTGTTATCGGAGTCTGCGGGCCCCTTTACGGACGGAAGACCCAGTGTTGATTCCAGCGAAGGGGCTTAAAGATGCTTTTTCAAAATTTGGAGCGTTTAGTTGAGCCAAAAGCCTTCTTACCCACATAAGCGGGCAACGAAAGCCACTCGGTTTAACGCAAAGAAAGTTTTGCCGGATTTGGCGAAAACACAAAACTCACAACCTCTCACCAGTTCGAGCCCTGACTGCTTTCCCGCATCAACATGTTTATTTCGGTTGAGGCCCCCTCGATTCACTCATGGTCTGTGCATGAGCATGTTTCGCCAGGTTTTCAGAATTCGGACACCGGCTTTCCGAAACAGGAATGTTCATTATCAAATTCGAAAATGTTCATTCGGTCAGCCGAATGACACGGGTAGCAACCGCCATTATACAGGTCTAGACAGGCACCATGGGCGGCGTTGAAAGGCCGCCGAATGGAATATTGTTTCTGGTATTTGTTTTGCTCCCTGAGAGGGTTGACTTCTCTGTTCCTAGTCCATTATTCACGCCGTATTACGGATTTATGGATTTTTTTCAAATTTTCCAGGTCGAAAGAGCAAACTCTCTCAACCACGGTCTATGAGGCTGAGGGGAGGCTGAACAAAGAGATCTAAAATGCATCATGTAATCGATTATCGCATGCGAAATGGTCGGTGCGTCGGTGGTGCATACACTTTCCGTGATGTTTTTTCCCTAGGACCCTAGATGCGTCAGAACTCGGGAGAAGTTGCCCTGGGGTGTATTTGAAAAATTGGGACTTGTTTGTTTTGAGTTTTTCAAAACTCCCATTTGTTCAGCTTTTCCATTATCGCCGTTCCTCTTTTCCTACCGTTTTAGGGCGTTTTGTAGACCATCTGGGTTCGCGTTTCAGGGTCCTACTGTTAGGAGCACCTGCGCGATCTACCACTAGAGAATTTAGAGCCAATTTCCGTCCGGATGGTGCGGCGCTGTTCATGAGGAGAATGATTTTCCTCCCTTTTTTAAAAATTCGCCGAAAACAGCTTGGCATTCTCCGGCTATTTTTATTTGCGGACAGAAAGTACACGCTTTTGCAGAGGCAATGCCTAAGCCTTCGTTTAGTGTTTAGCGAACGCGAGGCTGATCCTCTATTGCTAAACATGTTCGGTGTAATGTGATGAATAAATGGAGATTTTCGTGCACAAAACTTCACTTTGGTGGCTTTTCATTGACAAAACAATGCACTAGCATTCCCCCATTCACCTTGTCGCACAAGGGATAGAAGACAATGTTCGTTTACTTGGATGGAAATTTACTAAAGTCACACAATGGGAGCCACGGAGTTTGCGCAACAGCAACATTACTTCCGTGGAAAACCCACCAGAATTCCTTATCAGCTTGGGGTGAGTCTGACAAATTGTTGGGTGCGTCATGCCCCCTGGCTTTGTCAATTGGGAATGTGATGCTTCAACTACCGTGATATTTCACCCTGAATGAACTTTTAGCACACCATACTTCCTGTGGTCACGTTCAACACCCCCATTCTCCTGAGATGCTCTATTCTTCTAAATCTCTGTTTGTTTTGTAAACAATGAATAACCAGGGGTTGCCAGTTGAAAAAGTCGTGAATCTCCCCCACGCTATTTTGAGCTGCTAGGACGTTGGTGATTTGTGAATGGCTGGAGTCTAGGCCGATCATTCTGAGATAATGTTTTGGGAGCTCTTCATTCGTCAATCCGTCTGTAGCGTCCTCTTTGGAAAAAGTCTCCCCGAAGCCAGCTTTGCACTTCTTCATACAAAGCTTTCCTAGAGTGTAGGGCCCGCCCTTTCCACCTAATTCGATAAATCTGGTAATAGTCATGTTCTTCGTTCACTGATGGCGTAACCGTTGCCATTCAATTGAACACTTCTCAGTTTCTTCCCAATCCACTTCGTTGACAAGTGTAACCTTGGAGGCTCCTTCGCAACCGATCCTCACCGTTCACAGCTTGAGAGGCCTGCGATAGCACATGATAGATTGAGACTTGTCACTACTGCGAAACATACCCAATCGCTTCTCGTATTGACCTTTGTTGGGTTGGTTACGATACTTCCAAACCAGTGGCAACCAGTCTTGCCGCCTTGGCAGCAATCCAAAGCCATTTCACAGTCCGCTCAAAATCGTCATCCTCAATTGCCTCCCTTATTCCGGGCCAAGTTTGGCCAGCGTATCCAGTGAAGCGACCACATGCAAAAACAATATGCTTAAACCAAGGTCTTTCATGGAGGCCTTCCTCATAGAGAAAGCCCCTCTCAAAGTATTGAAGCAGTTTGTTTTGGCGCCTAATGTCGAAATGAAGCTTGATTCTCTGCCACCAATGCAATTGCTCCCTGCGCTCATATCGTTTTTGCAAGACTTCACTGATGGTATCAAAATGCAACGCCTTTTTCTCAAGATATTCTAGCTGATTTGCAGTATAATCCACGAGTTCCCTAAGCGAGATGCTCTTGTGATGCAGTGAATCCGTCATCAACATCTTCTGCATGAGCCTAAACTGATAAGGCTCTAAGAGTTCATTGAACGCATAAGCATCGTTCTCAAAGGAATACAACTGCGCAGCTCTGTTTGCAGCCAAACTATCCTCGAGGTTCCAAGAAAGGAACTCCGCTATAGATGATTTCGGTATTTCCTTGCCAAACCAATCCTTTGGAATTGTGTTGTTGGCTAAATCGAAATAGAACTGTAAGTCTTTCGCGTAGTCATGCAATGAAAAGTCAATCAACTTGTGAGTTGAAAGCTCTAAAGCAATAAGGGAGAGATATTTTGCAGCCAAATTATGGAACACAAAGTCCTTGTCTCCAAAAACGTTCATCCAATGAAATGAATCATAGTTTGAGTGATAGTGGTAGATTGGGTCCTTCTTGCCGGACTTGAAAGATACATCTGCAGATGGTATACCAAGATGCTCAAGGAACACTGTGTAATCAGATCCTGAGCCCATGTTTCGTATAATGTCGCCTTTTTCGTCAACAAAATGGTCATAGAGTGACTTGCCTTCTTCGCCCGGATACGGCAACCAGTTTGCCACCTTTCTCAATACCCTATTCAAGACTGGTGATGCACTCAAAGACAATGACTTTCCTTGAACAGCCACGTCGGTGTTGATGTACGCTATGACATTTTTCTGAAGATTCTTAGAAGCAAATTCCCCGAATTCGGTTGAGCCAATAAGTCCGTATTCTTCGCCGTCCCAACTTTGCAAAATAATTGTTCTTTTAAACTTGAATCCAGCATCTTTGAGCTCACCGAGTGCTCTCGCGATTTCGATGAGAACGGCAGAGCCAGAATTGGGATCGCCAGCGCCACCTTTAATCCAAGCATCACGATGGTTTCCTATTAAGATTGCCTCGTTGTTGTTTTCACCTTCGAACTCACCGTAAACATTCCAAATAGGCGTAATTTTGTAGGTCTGATTGTTGTACAAATTGAGGTTCACTCCCGAATTCGGTCCTGTGCTATAGTCAACGCCGCTTATACCGCCCTTCCAGTCCGCCGGACCCTTAGTGCCGTGTCCGTTCAATTTTGCCAAAATTGGAGTCACCTCTCTATAGGATATTGGAAGTGCAGGGATCTTTCCAATTGAGCTATGAGGGTCTTGCCTTTCAGCGCCCTTCTTGGAAGCATAGCCCGGAGTTGTAGGATCACCCGGAGTTGTCCCTACACCACCAAGAAACATAACACTGCCTCTTTGAACGGAGGACTCTGCTCTTGCAGGTCCCTTTGGGTATTGTTCATAGCCATTGGCGGAGGTAATCTCCCCATCATCGCCGGGGTCGGTATAAATCAAAACACCAACAGCACCATTGTCCTGGGCGAATTGAACTTTTAGACCGCGATTGATCGCGCCGTACCGTGCCACCACGATCTTTCCCTTGACATCGACGCCTTGTTCGCTGAGCCAAGAAAAGTCACTTTTAGTCCCATAGTTCACATACACGTACTCTGCGGTGACATTGCCGTTTGCAGCGAAGCCCAAGAACGTCGGAATCGTATCGTTCAAGGAGGTGGGATCCTCCTCTAGCTCATCTTCTTTCAATGGAGCAGTGTACTTCACATTGCCCTCTTTATCCAAGAGTTTCAAGGAATGGCTCTCAGGGTAGCTCAAAAGCACCTCGTATTCATCAACAGAAGCTCGGGCTCCGTATTCGGCGAACTTCTTTTGAGTAAACTCTACCAAACCATAGTTCGTACCTGCTAGGTGCTTTTCTGCTGTGTATATCTGAGACCAATTGCGTGCTTGGTTGGTTTCCAAGGCCTTCAAGACCGCCTCCCTTGGGTCAATTTCATGGGACTGGTTGAGAAGGACAATAACGATTATTATGATGAAACCGACCCAGGATGGGATTTTATAGGTTCTTGTTGTTGGTGCTTTTTCCATCGTAAGGAATAAGTGTAGTAGAATCAGATAAGTGTGGATCGAATGTATGGATGTATTCGCAGCCGCTTGAGCCGCATACCCCTTATCAGTGTGATGGCACTGAAAGACAGACTTTTAGTTTTTGAATGTAGATTTGAAGTTAAGTAAGCGGGTGAAAGTTTGTTGGTCTAATTTGAAATATGGTGAAGTTTAGCGATTCAGTAGCATCTTGGTAGGAATGTAAGGTTGCATGTTGTAGGATCACCAGCTAATCGATTTCAGCCATTGAGCTCTGATCTGTGCTCCTTCCAAATTTATCGAGGGTTTTATTCTTCAATATATTGATTCTTGTATTTTTGTAGTTTCATTTGTTCAGTTTGCAATTAATACATGGAATGAGTTTGGATGGTTTTATGATGACAGTTCGCGATATTTTGAGATAATCAAGAACTTACGCGTCTTTTCTTCCTTAACTACTCCAGTACTCCACCAAGTGATCAATCAACAAAGACAAGTGTATGATGAAAAGGATGGATTCAAACGAAGTTTAGTGACTTGCTACTGGTCCTTGCTACTAGTCCCTTGCTACTTGCTTTATCAAGATTCATATATCATATAACTATATCCATTTATCGAAAAGGGCAAGCCAGCTTGCCAAAGTCAAGAGAGTACAATTCAATGCCTCTCGATGCAGAAAAGGTCAAATTATCCTTCGAACAATTGTCACTCAATCTAGAAAAGCACAAAAAGTCCCACGGGAATCAACAAAGCAGCTCCAAGGTTAGGACGCGATCCAGCGCCTTCAAACGATGGTTCATCTTCAGTTGTGTCATCTTCAGGCGTTTCAGAGGCAGAAGTTTCCTCTGTGGGCACCTCATCGACGGCAGTCTCGTCTGAAACTGGTGGAGGAGCATCACCATCCGAGGTTGGTTCGGATGGTACCTCTTCATCCTCCCGATCAGTTGTGGCTGGTACAGTATAAGTGCTGGTGTGTCCATCAGAATCTTCGCCCACAACAACAAGGGAAGTCTCCACCTTGCCATCATCCTTGGTAGTCTTGAACGTGGACGTAATTGACGTGCTCTTATCTGGACAGATTGAGGTGTAAGTGGTGGTTACACCGTGAATGACGGTCTTGATGACCGTCGCTGTGACAGTCTTCTCATCGCCGTCCTCTTCGTGTGACACAAATGTCGTGAAGTCTGGGCGAGTCGAAGTTGTGGTCACCAACTCACCTTCCTCATCTGTAGTCTCGCAGATCACGATGGTTTTCGTGACAACATGACCATCGCTGTCGGTCTTGGTCACCGTGGAGGTCGTTTCAGGGAACAACTGTGACGTTTGTGTCGTGGGAGATCCATCAGAATCAGTGGTGATGATAACCATGGCAGAGCTTGTGACATCAGCACCGTCTTTATCGGTCGTCGTATAAATCGACGTGTAGCTGGTCTTCTCACCTGGGTGGTCTAAGGTGCTTGTGGTCAATGAGCCATCAGGACAGGTTGTCACAATGACTGTATCAGTCTTCGTGGTTACGAAACCATCGGTAGCAGTTGAAGTGCGCTTTGTGGTGAAAGTAGTCAAATCTTCCGATGGATCATCCTCACCAACGGTACTGGTCGTCAATTCACCATCCGAATCAGTTGTGACTATGATAATATCGGACTTGGTGATATCCTCTCCATCAGAGCCTGTGGTGGTCCAGACAGAGGTAAAACTCGTCATGTCTGGCAAAACTGACGTTGTGGTGATCAAGTTTCCGTCCTCATCTGTGGTTTCGATGACAACGCCAGACCCCGTAGTCGGTTTGCCGTCTTCGTCCGTATGGGTCCAAGTTGTCGTTATTGGCTCACCTGGTTCAGTAGGGGTTGTTGGAGGGAACGTTGATGTGGTAGTGATCTCGTTGCCATCCTCATCAGTTGTCTCGATAACGATACCAGAATCAGTGGTTGGGTTACCATCCTCGTCAGTATGAGTCCACGTCGTGGTCACAGGACCTGAAGGATCAGTTGGCGTCGTTGGTGGGAAAGTCGATGTTGACGTGATCTCGTTACCATCCTCATCGGTAGTGGTGATGACGATTCCAGAATCAGTGGTTGGCTCGCCATCCTCATCAGTATGAGTCCACGTCGTCGTCACAGGGTCTGAAGGATCAGTTGGCGTCGTTGGAGGGAACGTCGAGGTAGTGGTAATCTCATTTCCATCCTCGTCGGTGGTCTCAATCACAATTCCAGAATCCGTGGTTGGGTTACCATCCTCGTCAGTATGAGTCCAAGTCGTGGTCACAGGGTCTGAAGGTTCAGTTGGCGTCGTTGGAGGGAACGTTGAAGTTGAAGTGATCTCATTGCCATCCTCATCGGTTGTCTCGATAACGATACCAGAATCGGTGGTTGGGTTACCATCCGCATCAGTGTGGGTCCACGTTGTCGTGATTGGCTCACTTGGATCCGTTGGCGTCGTTGGAGGGAACGTGGACGTTAAGGTAGTCTCATTTCCATCCTCATCAGTCGTTTCGATGACGATACCAGAGTCCGTGGTTGGATTACCATCTTCATCAGTATGAGTCCACGTCGTGGTGATTGGCTCGCTTGGATCCGTTGGCGTCGTTGGAGGGAAGGTCGACGTGGTAGTAACCAAGTTGCCATCTTCATCCGTAGTCTCAATAACGACACCAGAGTCTGTCGTTGGGTTACCATCCTCGTCGGTGTGAGTCCACGTCGTTGTCACAGGATCTGAAGGATCAGTTGGCGTCGTTGGAGGGAACGTCGAGGTAGTGGTAATCTCATTTCCATCCTCGTCGGTGGTCTCAATAACAACACCAGAATCTGTGGTTGGGTTACCGTCCTCGTCAGTATGAGTCCAAGTTGTCGTGATTGGCTCACTTGGATCGGTTGGCGTCGTTGGTGGGAACGTTGATGTTGATGTAACCTCATTTCCATCCTCGTCAGTAGTCTCAATTACCACACCAGAGTCTGTCGTTGGATTGCCGTCCTCATCAGTGTGGGTCCAAGTTGTCGTGATTGGTTCACCCGGTTCGGTTGGTGTGGTTGGAGGGAAGGTCGACGTGGAAGTGATCGAGTTACCATCTTCATCAGTTGTCTCGATAACGATACCAGAATCCGTGGTTGGGTTGCCATCTTCGTCAGTGTGAGTCCAAGTTGTTGTCACAGGGTCTGAAGGATCAGTTGGTGTTGTTGGTGGGAACGTCGAGGTAGTGGTAATCTCATTTCCATCCTCGTCGGTGGTCTCAATGACAACACCAGAGTCTGTGGTTGGGTTTCCATCCTCGTCGGTATGAGTCCAGGTTGTCGTAATTGGCTCACTTGGATCCGTTGGTGTAGTTGGAGGGAAAGTCGATGTGGTGGTGATCTCGTTGCCATCCTCATCGGTTGTCTCAATGACGACACCAGAATCCGTTGTTGGGTTGCCATCTTCGTCAGTGTGAGTCCAAGTCGTCGTCACAGGATCTGATGGATCCGTTGGCGTCGTTGGTGGGAACGTTGATGTGGTGGTGATCTCATTACCATCTTCGTCCGTTGTCTCGATCACAACACCAGAATCCGTGGTTGGATTACCGTCCTCATCAGTGTGTGTCCACGTCGTGGTCACAGGGTCTGATGGATCAGTTGGCGTCGTTGGTGGGAAAGTCGATGTTGACGTGATCTCGTTTCCGTCCTCGTCGGTAGTGGTAATGACGATTCCAGAATCGGTGGTTGGCTCGCCATCCTCATCAGTGTGGGTCCATGTTGTGGTGATTGGATCCGTTGGCGTTGTTGGAGGGAAGGTTGAAGTTGAAGTGATCTCATTGCCATCCTCATCGGTTGTCTCGATAACGATACCAGAATCCGTGGTTGGGTTACCATCCTCATCAGTGTGGGTCCAAGTCGTCGTAATTGGCTCACTTGGATCCGTTGGCGTTGTTGGAGGGAATGTTGAAGTTGAAGTGATCTCATTACCATCTTCGTCCGTTGTCTCGATCACAACACCAGAATCGGTGGTTGGGTTGCCATCCTCGTCGGTGTGGGTCCAAGTCGTTGTGACAGGATCTGAAGGATCAGTTGTCGTTGGTGGGAATGTTGATGTGGTAGTCACCAAATTACCATCCTCATCGGTTGTCTCAATAATAACACCAGAGTCTGTCGTTGGGTTGCCATCCTCGTCGGTGTGGGTCCAAGTTGTTGTCACAGGGTCTGAAGGATCAGTTGGTGTTGTTGGTGGGAACGTCGAGGTAGTGGTAATCTCATTTCCATCCTCGTCGGTGGTCTCAATGACAACACCAGAATCCGTTGTTGGGTTGCCATCCTCGTCAGTATGAGTCCAGGTTGTCGTAATTGGCTCACTTGGATCCGTTGGGGTAGTTGGAGGGAATGTCGATGTGGTGGTAATGGAGTTACCGTCCTCGTCAGTAGTCTCGATGACGACGCCAGAATCCGTGGTTGGGTTACCATCCTCATCAGTGTGGGTCCACGTCGTGGTGATTGGCTCACCCGGCTCGGTTGGTGTTGTTGGTGGGAACGTTGAGGTAGTGGTGATCTCGTTACCATTCTCGTCGGTGGTCTCAATAACAACACCAGAATCCGTTGTTGGGTTGCCATCTTCGTCAGTGTGGGTCCACGTTGTTGTAACCGGATCTGAAGGATCAGTCGGTGTGGTTGGAGGGAAGGTCGACGTTGTTGTAATGGAGTTACCTTCTTCATCAGTTGTTTCGATGACGACACCAGAATCCGTGGTTGGGTTACCATCCTCATCAGTATGAGTCCACGTTGTCGTGATTGGCTCACTTGGATCCGTTGGTGTGGTTGGAGGGAAGGTCGACGTTGTTGTAATGGAGTTACCTTCTTCATCAGTAGTCTCAATTACCACACCAGAATCCGTAGTTGGATTACCGTCCTCATCAGTATGAGTCCACGTCGTGGTCACTGGGTCTGAAGGATCAGTTGGCGTCGTTGGAGGGAAGGTCGACGTAGTGGTGATCTCGTTACCATCCTCGTCGGTGGTTTCAATAACAACACCAGAATCCGTTGTTGGGTTGCCATCCTCGTCAGTGTGGGTCCAAGTTGTTGTGATCGGTTCAGCGGGCTCAGTTGGCGTCGTTGATGGGAACGTTGATGTGGTAGTCACCAAGTTGCCATCCTCGTCAGTCGTTTCGATCACAACTCCAGAATCCGTCGTTGGGTTACCATCCTCGTCGGTGTGCGTCCACGTCGTGGTGATTGGCTCGCTTGGATCAGATGGTGTCGTTGGTGGGAATGTTGATGTTGATGTAACCTCATTTCCATCCTCATCAGTCGTTTCGATCACAACACCGGAGTCTGTCGTTGGGTTTCCATCCTCGTCGGTATGAGTCCAAGTTGTCGTCACAGGATCGGAAGGATCAGTTGGTGTCGTTGGAGGGAAAGTCGATGTTGATGTAATCTCGTTACCATCTTCGTCCGTTGTCTCAATCACAATTCCAGAGTCTGTCGTTGGGTTTCCATCCTCATCAGTGTGGGTCCAAGTCGTGGTCACAGGGTCTGATGGATCAGTTGGTGTGGTTGGTGGGAAAGTCGATGTGGTGGTTATGGAGTTACCATCCTCATCGGTCGTTTCGATCACGACACCGGAGTCCGTGGTTGGATTACCATCTTCATCAGTATGAGTCCAAGTCGTGGTCACAGGGTCTGATGGATCAGTTGGTGTGGTTGGTAGGAAAGTCGATGTGGTGGTTATGGAGTTACCATCCTCATCGGTCGTTTCGATCACGACACCGGAGTCCGTGGTTGGATTACCATCTTCATCAGTATGAGTCCACGTTGTCGTAACAGGATCTGATGGATCAGTTGGCGTCGTTGGTGGGAAAGTCGATGTTGACGTGATCTCGTTTCCGTCCTCATCGGTTGTTTCAATAATAACACCAGAATCAGTAGTTGGCTCGCCATCCTCATCAGTGTGGGTCCACGTTGTCGTGATTGGTTCACCCGGTTCGGTTGGGGTAGTTGGAGGGAACGTTGATGTGGTGGTTATGGAGTTTCCATCCTCGTCAGTTGTCTCAATGACAACACCGGAATCCGTGGTTGGGTTACCATCTTCGTCAGTATGAGTCCAAGTCGTGGTCACAGGATCGGAAGGATCAGTTGGCGTCGTTGGAGGGAACGTAGATGTGGTAGTAACCAAGTTGCCATCCTCATCAGTAGTCTCAATTACCACACCAGAATCCGTGGTTGGATTACCGTCCTCATCAGTGTGAGTCCAAGTCGTCGTGATTGGTTCACTTGGATCAGTTGGTGTGGTAGGTGGGAAAGTCGATGTTGACGTAATCTCGTTTCCATCCTCATCGGTAGTGGTGATGACGATACCAGAATCAGTGGTTGGCTCGCCATCTTCGTCAGTGTGAGTCCACGTCGTGGGCACAGGATCTGAAGGATCAGTTGGTGTCGTTGGAGGGAAAGTCGACGTTGATGTAATGTCATTACCATCCTCGTCGGTGGTCTCAATAACAACACCAGAATCCGTGGTTGGGTTTCCATCCTCATCAGTGTGGGTCCAAGTCGTGGTGACCGGATCTGAAGGGTCTGCTGGTGTTTCGATGGTTGAAGTAGAAGTAGTTGGGTCGCCGTCCTCATCAGTAGTTGGTATTTCTATTCCGGAATCTGTTATAGTGTTACCATCCTCATCGGTTGTGGTCCATGTTGTTGTGGGAAACAGATCTGATTCCGAGATAGAAACTGTAGCTGAAGGGTCGTCAGGATCGATGGGGGGTTCAGGGAAGTCTTCACAGCGGCATATGTCAGGAATATCTCTGAAGTATGGGTTGTTGTAAGAGATTCGAGTACCACTATTTCCGAGACCGTTGGTCGAGAAGCCGGATCTCAGATACCCAGGACCAATGTTAAACCCTAATCTGAACACACCGAAGAAAAAGGAAAGGGTCAACACATTATTCGAATAGCTCCAAGAATCGAAACCGAGATTGATTCTGATCTGATTTCCACCACCAAAACCTCTCACAAGGTACGTCTTCGTTCCGGTGAGACCAGTTGACAATCCAGCCACAGACAAGAGAGAATTCGAGCGTGAAAGAAAGATGGTTTGATTTGAGGAGACATCCCAAGGATCAAGCTGGAGCTGAAGTCTAGCCAGATCTCCAACATTGATACAACCGTTTCCCTCTATAGAAGTCGACTGGATCCAGTTCATATTGGTGAGACAAACAGTACCATGGTTATCCACTCTCCCAAATGTCTGAGTAATTCTTACATCGGAAGAGATTCCTCTAGCCTGGGTAAGATGAATTCTTCCAGTATTCTCCCAGTTGGTAGTGGAACCAAGATTGATTGGAGCAATTGCAAAACCGCTAATTCCAAACCACATGTTACCAGTGTTATTGAACACCCCAATTGAGTTCAAATTATAGGCACTCACAACGCTGGCACGCGAGGAGTTAAAAGCAAGAAGGCCAGAATTCCGGATTGATCCGGAAACAATCGAAACGGATGCAGCTAAACCATTAGCCGAGGTGACATAGAATGCTCCCTGGTTATTCAAGCTGCCCGTAAGGGAAGTAAGTGCGTTGTTCACAATAGAGTAATACACTCCTGGAAGGACATGAAGGTCACCTATTGCAAGGTTGACTGGATTAATTGAAATTGTGTTTTCAGTGATCACCACTCCTAGCGCTGTGGCTAAATAAAAAGCCACAGCGAGCCAGGAGAAGTCAAAACCTTTCATAATTTCAAAATCTTTAGGTTATCCTGAGGTGGGTTTTGATGAACTTGGCATAGTTCTTGATATATATACATCATTCTGGTTCTTCAGGATTGCCCTCCTCCTGTGCCGAATTCATTGTCCAAATCGACTCTTCTTGTCCACACGGCGCAAGCCATTGATGAACTCCAGCAATTGGCTCTAGAAGCTGGAATCCCGCCTTGTTGTCTAAGCAACCTTGCAGTGGTAACAATTCAGTCTATTATTCTAGCTCACTTGAGCTGAATCATGAATGGGTCTTGAATGGAGACAAGATAAAGAACTCGCTTCAAACCGGCAGCATTGCGTTATCAGCAAGCATCTCCTCAATCCTGTCCCCTCCCTCTCCCATTCATAGTTTCATCCCTCATCCCAACAAGATTTTCTGCTTAGCGGGACTCAAGGTAACGTTTTTTTGTGTTTTGGAGAACAATGGCTTGGCTGCAGCAGCGATCGATCTTACGCAAGATTTAATTTGGCTACTCGCTTCTAACCGACCGCTAATTTTCGCTTCTAACCTGGACTATTATTATGTTTCAAACAAGGAAAGGCCGCTTATTATTAGCGGAATTAGCCCAAATTCTCTTCTCTCATGAGTTACCATTTTGAAGTTGCAAAATACAGAAGCTTCCATCATCTATTGTTGCGTTCCAGAACAATCGGTTCAAAAGAATGTGACCGACTTCCTCACTGGTTTTCCACCCCTCTGCGTGCCCATCGAAACAATTTTCTCCTGACTATAGAACGCACAGAAGCCCTTGAAGCAAAGCGCCAGCCCAAATATCTAAAACTAGCTCCCCTCTCGTGAGCTTATTAATCATTAAACATACAAAGCGGGGGATGGAGAGTATTTTCGTTACGAGTGTTTCTTCTCTGATAGTGATGTGCTGTAAAAGCATTTGACAAATTCTATTTTTGCAATACCTGAAAGTTGCATCATGGCGAAGTCCTCGCACGTTGTAAGAAAAAGAGTTGATAATTGTGTGGATAGTTCTCTAATGTGGAAAACGGAATACAAGCGCGCTTCACCAACGCGTGAATACATCTTGCTAGCGGCTTTTTTTCACTAGGTACCAGAAAATGATGACTTTCTCTGGTGCATATTCGCTTGAATAGACTAAAACCTCTTGGCCGCATTGACAATAGGGTATCAAGTAAGTTACCAAAGATAGAGCCATTGTCTCCATCGCTTCTGGTGCACAAATCTGCAAGATTTACTTTGCTGATGTTCTAGAGTAACTGGCGGGCGGAATTCAGGCGGGAATAAAATGCTTCCTTGAGAGACGTTTAGCTGTCCTCAGTGATATATTACCGGGTCTTTCCTTCACTACTGAGGTCCAAAAAGCAGTTAGTAGGTGTCCAAATGCATCTTAGATGCAATGACGTCGTTCGGCAAGTACGCAGCATGATACATCTGCAGAATTTGTTTTAGACTTTGCACCTCCGCTTCCACGGACCAATTATATTGCTCTTCTGACTCCTTCCGTTCGCCCCTCAAAGCGTGGTGCTCATGAATCCAAACCACAGACAAGCATACTTAATCAGTTAAAAAGCTACCATTGGTCGGAAGCTCTTTAAAACAGATCCAGGTCACTTACTTGCAGATTGCTGTTGGTCTTGGTTGGTCTGGGCTTTGCATTTACGGAGCTGTTGCTGGTTGCTGGACATTCGGTCTCGTTTGCTCAACATTTCAGCGACTTTCATTCCTCTAGGGGGTTTTTGCAATTTGCTGTTTGCGAAAATTTGAGCAAAGCAACTCCGTTAATTTGCAGTTTCATACTCGATGTATGGAGCGCATTTGGTGAAGTCTACCACCCGTTTGATGAGGTCTACTGAGGCTTTACCTACCTTGGTGATTTACTTCCGCAGGGCCCCACGCGTCTCCAATACCTATAAACGTTTATCTTTTTGATCTTTCAGAATTGAATTAGCAGTCAAGAAAGCATGCAACTTTTAACTTCAAAGAGATCTCGTTTACAATACTCAGCCTGTGGGGGATGATACTATTTCTCAAGACAAAGGGAACAATCTACCAGCCCGGACTATGCTCTCAGAGACGGAGATTGAATCAACGTTTGAGGTAGCGCCAATCACCCAAAAGGGCTTTTCCAAAATTAGTGGGTCTCAGAAAAAGAGCTTGCCAAGGGCACCCCCAATAATGCAATTAGGGGTGGGTTTGATCCCCTTGTCTTCGTAATCTAGAAAACATGATCAAGCAAGACACTAATCTAGGCTTCCTTTGAGACATCATTTCTCTTGGTCATGCAAGATGGTAACAATCAGTACTGAAGAATGCAGCTCTCATGATTGCCAAAGCTTACCAGGTAGCTTGATCAATTCGTTTTTTTTTTTTTTTTGTGATCTTCCTGAGCCCTTTAATTTTTTTTTTTAGTTCAAATCTGTCTTGTTTCAAAATTAATTATGACTTACTCAAAGAATATGCTCCAAAAGACAATCTGAAGACTTTCTCATAGATCCAGAACGCACGAATCTAGGTACCAAAATCAAAACCGCACCCGTACCTCCCACTCAGAGGTCTCGATTTCTTATCAGATCCTACTGTGTTCAACGAGGGGGTTAAAAGGCAAAAGTCAATGCATTTTTGATAATGTGTGAAATTTGCCTCTAGTAATACCATTTTGATCGAAAGAGAAGCACGAAGGTAATATAGACCACGCATGATGTGCTGAAAAATTGCGTGATTTTGCCTCTTGAGTAGTATGCGAAAACTCCTCTAACTTGTGAACGGCAAAATTTCTTCCCATACACATCAAATCAACTTCATGTTTACTGATTTGGATTACTGTAGAGAAGATTACCCTGACAACAAATTTTTAGCTTGTTCTAGCAAAGACCTGATTTTTGAACACCCTTTTAAAAGTGCTATTTGTGAGGCTCTGCTAATATTGCAATACACTACCACAATGTTAACTCCGCATTCATGAAAAACTCAGAATTCACAAATATTGAGAATACCAAACAATTGAACCAAAACTATCCAAAATCGACCTAGTTTTAAGAACAAGCTAGGAATGAGAAGATGAATGGTTTGTATTTAATCAGATGAATCAAACAAAAAAAAAAAAAAAAAATGATTGGAAAATAATCAGCTTTGACTCCACCCGGATCAATCGGAAGCACATTGGACTAACTCCGTTGATGCGCTTCTATCAGCCGTATTAGAGAAAAGGAAGGATTAACTAGGAGATCTCGAAGTATGCTTCGTTAAGGCACTAAAGGAGATGGTGAAGACCAAATTTCCCTTATCTGTTGTGATAAGCATGAGCCAGGTCAAAAACTGTGGCGCGATGCAAGGAACGTAAACGTAAAGCCGGCTTAGTTAGAAGACCCATTGTCTATTTAAAACTAGTCAATTCCTTTATGACTGAAGGCGAATTTTGCCTTACGGAGATTTTTCTGTGCAGAGGAAGTGTGTGGTTTTGCGAGACACCACAGTTTTGTGCCTCATAGTTAATTTAAGCGGGAGTATCGCATGAATTAGTCGAGATGCTTATTTCGGCCCGCTTACCGCTCGATGAAATTTCATGCATAAATAAGGTCCGTGTTCCTCTTGGTTTTGACCAAGGATGCCTGCCGAAAAGCTCAATCGGAAGTCCAATTCAACGGATGAAGAAACTCAACATGTCAAAACTTACAAATCTCCAGTCGACGGCAAGCCTATCAATATAGTGGTATCAAGTGATGAGCTTGATCCTTACATGCTTCACGATGAATCTGTGGTTTTGGATAAAAAGACAGACAGACGGTTGCTCTGGAAGATCGACGCCTTCGTTTTACCCCTTGTGTGTATCTTATATTGTGTCCAGTTCATGGACAAACTATCGAACTCATACGCTTCAATTATGGGATTGAGACAAGACTTGAACATGAAAGGCGATCAGTACTCGTGGACCGGTACAGCCTTCTACATCGGCTATCTCGCTTTTGAGTTTCCTTGCGCATATGCTTTGCAACGGTTTCCCGTCGTCACCACCGTATCTGTCTTCATTGTGATCTGGGGCGTCATTTTATGCTTGCACTCTGTGACAAATTACGCTGGCTTTATTGCTTTGAGAACCCTTCTTGGGGCTCTTGAATCGTCCGTGACGCCTGCTTTCGTTATCGTCACCGCTCAATGGTACAAGAAAGAGGAGGTTTTCTTGAGAACATCTATCTGGTTTTCCTTCAACGGTATGGGCCTGATCATTGGTTCTGGTGCAATTGCATATAACCTTTTCCAGAATATGGAGAGTTATAGCATTGAAGCTTGGAAGTTGATTTTCATCATCACCGGAGTTATCACGATTGCATTGGGTATTGCTATATTTCTCCATATCCCCAATAAACCAACCGAAGCATGGTTTCTCAATGAAACTGACAAGAGGAATGTTGTTGAGAGAATCAGAGCCAACCAACAAGGTTTCGGAAACAAGCATTTCAAGAAATACCAGCTTATCGAGGCATTGACTGACATCAAAATTTGGCTTTTCAGTCTTATGATTCTCTCAGCCAACATACCAAACGGTGGTTTAACCAATTTTGGGTCTATCTTGCTTAATGAATCTTTTGGATACGGCGTTGGCAAGTCGTTAAAGATGCAAATGATTCCCGGAGCAGTCCAGCTTGTTGGTTGTATTGGGTTCGCTTACATGTACCGTTTTTTCCCTAACAGGCTATTTTGGGCAAGTTCTTCCAACGGTGTTGCCATAATCGGTGTGTGCTTGTTGGCCTTTGCTGAATCCAAAGAAGCACAGTTCGCGGGTTACGTTCTTTTCAATTTGATTGCCCTTGTCATGATCTGTGGTCTTTCTTCATTTGCGTCCAACGTGGCAGGTCATACCAAAAAAGTGGTTGGAAATGCAATGTTCTTAATCGCCTACTGCGTTGGGAATTTAGTCGGTCCACAGACATTCAGGCAAAGCGACGCCCCCAACTACAATGGCGCAAAGATTGCAATGGTTGTATGTTCAGTGGCGAGCTTTGTATTCCTTTTAGCAATTTGGGCTCTTATGCTTATTGAGAACAGGAGGAGAGATAAGGCAAAGGATCAGGAGGAGTTTGCACGGATAGAGAATCACGAGTTCGCTGATTTGACCGATAAAGAGAACCCTCTTTTTAGATATACTATATAAAATATTGTGGGGGAGGCTTTTCTAGCTTAATAGTGCTTCGAGATTTTGGGTAACACGTAATATACGGTTTTCAGGAAATGCAGCCATTGGCATGGAATAGCTTTTCATCATGGCGCGAAGCTAGCATTCTGCTGCAGATTATTTTTTCTGGAGATTGAGAAAAGTGTAACTGTCCGAGTCTATGTGCGCTTCGCAGTTGTGAGTCACCGAAGAATGAACCTTGGTGGCAAATAAAAATTGGTATATAAACCCATGAATTGAACTTTATTGAAATTATTCCTCATGAGTTCTTCCAAGAATTCTCGGCACTTGTCCACCGAAGAGCCTTCCACTGTGTTGGCGGAGGTTTCAACAAGTATGCCTGTGGTAGAGCTCGAGGAGTCCAATTGCATAGGTCATAGGAGCGAGGAGTTGGTAGAGGTGTCTGAACATCCTTCTGATGGGTCTGAGTCCCTGACCCACGGGGATATCTATTCCGATTACTGTTACTACGATTGGACTACAGATGAAGAAATGTATGATGATTACGATATCGATGGTATACTTCATGCAGAAGATTTATTTCCAGCACTCAATCAGGGCCTTGTAGTTGATGCACGAAGGACAATCTTTTATGACTCGAGTCTTAATTTGGACGATACAAACACTACAGGACCATCTGTTCAGCCTGAGTTTATGGCGGCAGCAGCATCTGTATGCGACGTGACACCCTTAATTATCAAGTACATAGAATATTCCGGAGAATTTATAAAAAGTGAAAATTGTAGATGACTCCATATGTTTAATTCACTGTTTGGATGTCGTGAACAAGGAGAAGCTTTGAGAGCAGTGGCAAACATGGGTATATTATTAAGAGTAAGAGGCGTTGTGAGCTTAGCCTATTGACAAAACGGAATGAAAAACACATTTTTCTACTTCAAGAGACAAACTAATAGCCAATTGGTCAAAGGAGCACAACCCTTGATACGAGAGGCACCAGAGTTTGCATAACGAGATCGAATTAATGTACAATGGTATCCCAGTGTATCAGACTTGGCATAGGAGAATGGAATCGGTTATTTTTTTAAAGCTTGGTAGCCATTAGCAAAGTTTCTTCTTTCCGATTACTTCAACTCCGTATTTCCCGTTTGTTCCGCCCATCTCAGTCCATTGTCTACGAAGTGAACAAGAAAGAATTTGAGGTCGCCTTGGCATCTACACTACCAGAGAACAATACTAATGGACTCCATCAAAGAAATGAGCTTCACGGTGAATTTATGCTTCATTGTGACGAAAGACAATGTGTTGTTTGACGCACCAACATCGATGATTTGGTAATGTTGGTAATGCATAGTCACAAATGTGCTCAGGGATGTAGAGATTTGGAGAGATTATAGAATAACTTTGAGGTAACAGACGTTATCATATTTGAAATCTAAATACTATTCAATGGGATTGATTTGTAGTAGCAAAGACTACCAGCGGGAATTGAACTAGGTAAAGAGCATCAATGCAATTACAAGCAAAGACTTGAGACCTAATCGAGGAGAATCCACTACCGCAGCAGCTGCGTTATCAGACGAAGGACGACTACCTTCGTACCAACCACATATATGAATATTTTCGATTACTGACTCGTTGAGGAAGTCAACTGCCATGGTCGAGATGTCGCAAGGCACCTCGAGAGTGCTATTGAGTTCGAGACGCCATGTTGGGGAGGTTTGGGCAGATGATTCAGAACTAATCATTTTTAATGCACTAGACGCAGCCTGAGACCTCGAGTACGAATTCAGGGCAGCCAGGTGAGTCAAGATATAGATTTCCCATTTCTTTAACCCACTGCCGACATCGGATCACCAACAATGTGACATTCAGCATAAAATTTTCTGCGGCATAAGCGAGAAGACAATACAGGCAATGTGTAATTCAGAACAATAGATGTGCAAGTTGGTAATATGTTGAACTCAGAAAACGTGGCTGAGGTCATCGAGAAAGTTTGCTTTGGGACTAATTGTAAGAGCACCTCGAACGCTGATTTCCAGGATCCCTCTGTTTAAAACAGTGTTGACTTTTCTCAGATAATAGATAAGGGGACGGCATGCGCACTTACGTAAGCTGCATCGATACATCTTAATTAGTTTATCGATTGAAATTCCTTTTTTGGCGAATGATCGCGTGAATACTGACTTGCGTGCTGAGCCGATTTTACACCCATATACCAAGTCATTTGCTCAAAAAAGATCAAATAGAATGCACTGTATAATAGCAAGGTCTTGTAGACCAGGTTATAATTGTTCACTGGCTTTGGGTTTTGAATGCACTTGTTAGGATTAAGGAAGAATCTACGTTCAAGCCTCATTTTTGAGTACACAGCCTCTTTGAGATGTTTTATATCAATTTCAAGGCTAAAGCAAACTCGAACTATTGGAATCCATCGGGTTTTGATTTTTTTTAACGCGAAGTCTTGTACCAAGCAGATATTTCTACCAGTGGCCCGAAGTCGCACAAATCATACATATTATAATTTTTCGATGAAGTTGTGAACCAGGGGTGTAGAGAGTAATAACAAAATTGAAAAGTATTGAACATACCGTCATGAAAAGGTCATAACTATGTATATCTCGAAAAAGGCCGAGAATTCAAGCTGTGGTCAAGTTAATTGGGGTGCAGCGACACTAGAAATGTTATTAAGCGGAGGTATTGCAAGCTCGAAAGCTCGTAATTTTCTATCATTACTTAGTTGCCAAGCAAAACATTGGCGTACTTAGGGAGACACGGAAGCTTGGCATCTAAACATATTTCCAATTCGATCCCAATTGTTCATTTCAGCTTTCGTTTGTATTTTATTATTTTCATCGGCCAAGGTTTTGCAAGTCTTTCTGAAGATAATTCAGCTTGCGCTCCTATAATGTCGTGTGCCAGCATTTGTGGCAAACCAAGACGACAGCGTTATTCCAAGCGGAATAAGTTTGCGAGGTTACACTGGGAGATTCAAGCGTGAGAGTCACAGACTCAAATGCCGCAGAGAGGAACGAAATTGTCTACTGAACGGTTTTCTCTATTTACCACGAGAAAGAGTATATGGATCAAACATTTATTGATTAAATTGACATGCGTACAATACAGAGCGGGAGACTGTCCCAACAGCACTGTGTTGAATTTAAGTAAGGCACAATAATGCTATAACAAGCATCGATTTAAAACTCACACGAGGAGATATAACCACAGCCATGTTATCAGAAGTGCTCGTTTCTCCATCGTACCCAGCACAGATATGAATTTTCTCAATTATTGAATCGTTGAGATGGTCAAAGTCCAAATTCGGGTTATCGCAGCTGACTTCGATCCCTGTATTAACTTCGAGTAGTGAAGTTGGGGAAGATTTGGCGAGTTCGGAGGTGATCATATTCTTTATGTGGAAACACCTGTCTGGAGACACAGTAAACGTGGGATATGTCCACGATAAATGGTATTGGTGGTTTTCTCACTTGTGCCGACATCGGCAAGCCAAGAGAATAAATAGAAAGTTGATCCTCGTGGGAATTATTTGAGCAGCTAAACAGTGACAGCATAAGAACTGGCATTTTGGGAGACAATGTGATTTGAGTTGCCAAGGGATTTGACTTGAGACGCCTCGATACTCATTTTCATTGTGTTCAGGCAGCGAATAACAATGGAGTATCTGGCCACTCTGAATTGAATCATAGCTTTCATTCAAACAAGTCGTGAGAAGTAGAGTTTTAAAGTGGATTCAAGGCAATGCTTCAAGAATCTCGGTTCTTTAGTTTTATTAGACGACTATTTGCATGGATTTATTTGACAGGCTTTGTAAGGCCGCAGTAAGACACCAACGTACATGAATCGTATATGTTCAAGAGGATTGTTATCATTGTGGACAATGATGGAATACGACAACAATGAATATGGGATTTATCAGATGTTAGTGGATGACTTTGTGCAATGGATTATGATCTGAAACTTACTCAGATCTCAAAGTATTCTGAAGTAGAGATCTTTCTCACGGGGATCTATTTTTGGAGATGGCGAAGGTAACAAAATAAGATGTGATGTCCCCAAATTACTCTTAGTGATGGTGTGATCAGATAGTACGCCTTCGTATATCAATTCCTCATATTGAATGCTATAGGTACGCCTTTGTCTACGAAGACAGAGATATTAAAATGAAGATGAGAATTATCTTGGCAATAAACCCAATATTTCAATATAAATAGATGGAATGGTAACGATTTGTGAGATAATAAGTGTTCCCAATCTTAGGGATGGCTGAACGGCACGGAAGCGAAGCTTACGTGACGTAAAACACGAATGTATTGACAGTACTAGACAGACTCTAAATTTGAATAATTCCCCTATTAGTGGATAGGGTCTCAGACAAAAAATTCCACTATTCGATCAACAAAGATCTCTTCAGTAGGTTGAATCGACGCTCACAAGTTACCAGGACTAGAGCGGGAACGAAAGAAGGAAACTTCGAGGGAGGCGGCCTCACGCTGGAATATTTATACCTTTTCCTCGGGAATCTGGTTTTACCGTTTCGGGGAAATAGCAATGTTGAGGCAGCCTCAAATCCCCCTATTCGACGTGTCATTAAGCCGAATTTGGAAAAAACCATTGTTTCACGGCTTGTGACGCAGGTTTTCGGGTATGCATGCTGCAAGACGCATGTGAACCCTTTTCTGCAATGTGCATGTGCTTAGATGACAGGCATGTGCATGCGCATGATTCCGTTGTACTTTAGTACAATATGAGAGGGGAAGACAACCGTCCACGGACTAATGATAGGAGCCAATCCTGGAGAAGACGGTCGATGAGACGCGTCAACCAAGTCCCTATCGAGATCAACTAAGTCCCGCAAATGTGGCCACGCCTTAAGAGGAGGCGCGGTTCGGTTTTTGTCTTTTGCACAGGCTGGCCGATGACCAGAGGGGTGCTTTTCTTCTCCGGGAGCGAAGGACGCGTTTGATTTTCTTGTGAATTTGGTGCCGGAGAAGCCCTTCTCTGACCCGTTTGGCTGACTTGAATCCGAGACGACGGAGTAGGTGAGTCCGATGGTCGGCAATCTCTGAACGGTAGTTCAGTTCTGCCTCAGGAGCCGGGTCAAACAGTGTGAAGACGTGGGACAGTGCACTATCAAAGTGGTTGTGCAACACCGCCTTGGACGCAGCGTTAGCGTAGTCCATGATGTTACGAGAACGCTTTTTGGAGATAAGCACTCTCGCTCGGTGGTGTCTCAGGTAACGATGAAAGTTGATGAAACCTGGAGTGTTGAGTAACTGTTCAAGGTGCCGCTTGAAAGGTGGGGCGTGGTCAGATTCCCAGACGGGGTCATACTCCACCTTCAAATAGAACGTTTTAATACCTTCATCCGGCTCCGGGGATTGATACCGGATGATGTCTGTCGTGGAATCGTTCTCGGGCCTTGTAGATCTCAACATGCTTTGAATCCATTTATTAGTGAGGTGGGGAGGGTACCCGCGTGCTCGGGTTTTTTCTTAGGGATGTCTGGGTTTTTTCTTAGGGCGACAAAGTGTGAAACACTTTGACGAGTCTGGGCAAAAGCACTTGATTACTATATAAGCCAAAAAAGTTGATGTCCTACTTTAGGGAAAGTCTTCAGATGCTCCTAAATTCGATCAGCAAAGATCTCCTCAGTAGGTTATTTATCAACGTTCTCTGTTCCAACACTGGGAAAAACAGAGTATTTGCCGTGAAAATTTTCACTCTCAAATGCGCAGCACGCTCACTCAATCTCGTACCCAGTCACAGCATTCACGTGAATGCAATCAAAGAGGCAGCCTCTTTTCACGTGTGACGGAAAATGTGTCAAGTGATGGGCAAGACGGAAAAACTTTTTCGCTAGCCTCAAGATGCAGGGGCCGCAGTTGCCCGCAGGGCATCTAAGGCACATGGTGCGGCGCTTATCAGACAGAAGCGACACACAATCAAGCGGCAGGTGCATATTGCATACAAGGGGACAAATACGATCCATA